AATTGTTATTGATAATTTAAAACAAGGTATGCATAGGCTTATGATTGGTAAAAAAAAGCAAAACAGAACAAAAAAAAAAAAGAAAGAAAAAGAAACAAAACAAATAAACCCAGAACACAAGACGGTCGCGTACATTTCAAATACTGAAAGGCTCACAATACTCAGTTTTATTAATATTTGAATCATTGCATTTTGGGTTATATTTTTCCAGATCTGCTGAAAAGCACGTATGTTTGTTTTTTGACAAACGATGTTGCAACATACTAAATGAAATTGATAGCAAAACTGTCGATGGATATATTCGGAATAGATTTATGTTAAGTTTCAATGGCCAAACACGAGCATTTGTTAGATCATAGCAAAATACGTCTGACTCTTATTTTTTTTGTTTGTACCCTTGCACACAGGTAGAAGTAACTAGGCTACGACCGGTGTCAATTTCAGCGAAACAGCACAAAAGAATGGTAATGAACTGAGGTGGAGGGGACTCCCCATGCAATAATATGTGAAATGAACGTTACCGAAGTGACGTGACATTCATGTAGTTGATGACAAATAACCTCGTTTGTTACATTATGATTTCTTATTACTGCGTTAAAACGCTTCGTTGAAATGATTTTTATGCCAATAATTGCTTTTTTTTTAAATATTTACTTGCATATTGTTACAAGTTTGAAATGTGTGTTACCTTCTCATATTCTGAGGCAATCGTGTCTTTATAGTGGTGATTGACATATAACACAATGTGATTACATAGAGAATCTTTTTTGGAATAAACTGAAACAAAACGATGAATTTTTAGATGAATTTTAAGCTTTTTATTAAACAGAAATATATCTTGAAATGTACGTTATATTTACGTAGTTTTCTAAATCGGCATGGATATATGTTAAAAAAGACAGTAACTACAAAATAGAATTTTACTACATGTACATGTTAAGTTCCAGTATCTATAGAAAATGACAAGATTCCAAACTGATCGCTTTAAACAAAACAGAGAGAAGAATTTAAAGCAAATATTTAGGAAATGTTTTTATACATCTGGATCAAAAAGTAACCTTTGTTTTTTGAAAGGAAAAATCAAACGCACGTTCGTATGCCGAGAAAATATGTTGCTGACAGAGTTGGTAGGATGTGCTGGTGTTAAGATGAGATATTCCAATTGTGATTTTAATGACTACATTTTTTTTGACATATCTTTTTGGACATTGAAGAAAGAGTAACGTACATTTCAAGCTACATTTCTGAATAAAATCACCCTCTACTTTACCGTCTTGTCATTATTCCATGTATTAAAATTTGATGAAAAAAAATCTGGAAACAAAGTCTTCAGATACTTTCTTTCAAAGGTAATTGATAGAAAAATTGTTATCTGGAACTTCATTTTTTTTAAATCAGAGAGGCATTTGTGCCCTTATATTGAGAATGGGTGCTACGTCTCAATCGCCATCTTAGCACGCTTAGGTTTAATCGCCGGTATAGTCGTAGTTTTAGAGTTACTTCCCGTTGTTATGAAACGTCGTGTGGCACTATTTTTAGCATTGGGCACATGGAGAAGTAAACAAAACTTGGTGAAAAATGCAATATCTAGAAAAATAAAACGTTTAGAAGAAATGGACACTAGTCCAAATTAAATTTTCCTTTCTGTGTTAACTTTAAAAATTACTACCCATTAATCATTTTTAGTGATAGTGAAACAAAATATTTCATACAACAGGCTACAATTCTAATAATTATTAATTTCTGAAAAATATTGCCATGGTTACTGACTAACTTATCTACAATTTTCTTTAAATTCCTTCAGAAGGTTACTACAGTTTTAGGTAAATTTTAGTACATTTGTAAAGGAAGATACAGGATAAATCTTTTTTCAAATTAATTATTATTATTTTTCTAATTTAAAAAAAAGTGTTAGTTATTCCATTGCTTTGTGGTGCAGTGGTTAAGTTTAAGCATTGCAAAACCAATCATTGATTAATGAAGATGAGGAAGTCTAACACGCATAATTTTGTGTTTTCGGTCACATTTCGACTGCGCGCAAATGTGGAAAACCCTGACATTGATTGAATTTATAGGAATTCTTTTGTCTTAAGAAACTATGTGAAAATTGTTATACGCTATTTCAAAGGGATTTCTAAGATATGCCATGAACTATACAGTCGTTTGTTGAACGAGTAGAACCGAGAAAACCATTTTTCGTCACAAGTGACCTATATAGTGACGTCATTTTCACATTCTGATGTCACAAACAAGGGGCAAAACTTTATTCAGCATATATTATTCATAGAACTTGTGTATGGCTATGTGTGTACCAATTTTTTTCCCTATTTTGAATTGTGCATTTGTAGATATAGAGATAGTTCGCGAACTTTTTGATCACCCCTCGTATCTCAGTTGATTCTATACGCAAGAACATGCTCTACGTATGAAAAATTACTAAAACGAGGAAAATTATTGACAAGAAAATTGAAGAAGCAAGAATATCAATAGTCTCATTTATAGTCATCATTTCGTAAATTCTATGGTCGATACAATGACCTTGTCAGCAAATTCAATTTATCATTGAGACAAATGCTGACTGACGTTTTTCATTCTAATTGTTAATCCATTTTTTATACACTGAATTTACGACGGACTTTTTCGTTATTTCCCGATTATGACAAGGAGCACACGGCGGGTGTGACCGGTCAGCAGGGGATGCTCACTACTCCATAGCACCTGATCCCACCTCTGATGTTTCGGAGGTCCGTGTTTGCTCTGCTCCTATTTTGTATTGTTTTATGGACTTTGATATTGAATACGGATAGTTATCTCCATATCCTTCATGCGTATACCTGGTGCAGTTTTAAATTGTTTGGTGTCATCATCTTGCTCATTTATACCATATCACTCTATTTAAAAAAATCAAAAGAACATAACCAAAAACACAATATCCCTAAGAAGAATTGATGGAACATTTTGTATTGCTTTAAGAAATGATGAAGAATGATTGTAAACTACAAAAAAACTGGCATTCTTTTCATGCAAGTTTGAAAAATTTCATATTATTCACGTTCAGCAACGAAAACCAAGAAACCAGCTGTAGGAACTACAAAATGAATTTGCTAGTTATTGGCAAATTCCATATAAGTAATTCATTAAAAGCACACGTTTTGTGTTCAGGGCATTAAATAACCTTGAAAATTAAAGTTAAATTTATCCACTTATGCCTAGGTCACATTTCCCGGCCGGTAGCCGTAGACCGGTGGTAATCGGTAGTAATCCGTGGTGTTAACGATGCCCCAACATCGGTCCACATCGGCCCACTAGTCCTTAAAGTATCAGTCACATTATCCAGCGATGTGCATACGATGGGCAACCAATGCGTTTTATGAGAAAAATGGCGTGGTTGCCGGCCGGACTTACAAAGGTTCAGCGATGCATTGCTAAGCATAAAACGATGTACCAGGATAATCGGCCGATGTATATTACATCACTCATACATTGGTGAACATTGTTCGTACATCGGTCGACTACGGGCCAATGTTTGGTCGAACATCGAACGATGATCGGTCGTTATCTGTTGAACACCACTCAACCCCCCGATGACCTCAGATTCAACGGATATTGGACGATGCTCGGCCATACATCGGCCGATCCTTGAAAGATGTATTAATGATGGGTTGCCGATGAGGAGCGATGTGAGGCATCGTTGGAGACATCGCTGAATTTTAACTACGAATTATTTCCTACCGATGACCCCACCGATTCGCAAAAAAGACTCAGTCACCGTCCGATCACTAGTGGTGCCCGGCCGGCAACCACGCCATTTTCATCAAAAAACGCATCGGTTTCTCATCGTATACCCCATCGTTGGATAATGTGACTTATACTTTAGCTGTCTAATTAGATTAGTTCTGTTGTACTTTATGCATAATTCAAATGCGAGTTCATGTAAAACACGATGTAAACAGCCATTTATAAGTAATGTTTCTACATTAAGCCCTTTTCGGGTATAAAAGCAATCCAATCGCTTAAATATTTAATAAATTTGCTTTCTAAAAAACGATTTGTATTTTGTTATATCAAAAAATATGCATTGAACTAGATAATTCACAGGTGCCAATAGTAGCTGGTGTCCGAAACCAAGATTTTATCCATTCGCACGTTACATCTACACCTGTACATTGATATTAAAATCATTCTAATCTGTTAACCTTTGAAATTAAATGACTTAGATGTAGGCGGTAGTACTCACACCAAATGTTCTATTTAATAAAGATTTGTTGGAAACTTAATTAGAGGCACTTGTTTCTGTAAGAGTTTTCCAATCACATTTTATAGATAATAACGCTAAGAAGGAAGAACAGAAAAAATTAGATGGATGAAAGCGAAAAAAAAAATAAGAATACATCTACCATAGCAAGCAGAATTAAAGCTTTTGTTATGAAGGGTACCAGTCCTATGAATCGTCATTTCTTGTATTTTGAAGGATGTTTTGTTCTGTGGCGATTTATTTGCTGACCTTTAATCTTCTTTTTAAAAAATGCTTAATGATATTAAGTCCGAATTGTATTTAGAACTAAAAAAAAATAAATAAATAAAAAGCACTTGATATTTCTCGTCATGCTCTTATTTCGGAGATGCGACCAAATTAAAAAAAAACGCAAAGTCAAGTTGACTGGATTTGAGTAAGGTGTATTAGTATGTTTAAAATTTGGAATTAAATAAATTCTTTGCTATAACAGCCAATGTCGTCTATATTGAAATGAAAAATTATTTTGTTGACATTCAACTTCCCAGAATAATGACTGGGAAGGTGTCTGAGAGCAGGACCTGAAATTCAAATCTAACCATTCCGGAAATGGAATTTACAAAAGGTCGCCGTGACAAAGACAAGAAAAGGGACATTAATCATAAAAAAAAAAACCTTGAAATTTTTTTTTATAGTTACATTATCTTCTCTCTTTGTTGAAAACATTTCAAAAGAATAGGGAGAAAGTTCCGAAGGAAAGTATTCTTTTGACGATTCATAACATACCGATTTTTTTTTTTTAAAAAAGCAGAATGATTCTGCGATTACTTCTCCTCGTTCTTTTCCTCTGTGAGTGCCATTGTAGAGTGGTAAGACCACATCACAATTGTATAAAAGATGTCTGTTACTTTGATTTTAATATTGACTACAAATTTACAATGATGTGGTACAATTATACAAACGCACTCGATCCCGAGGTTTATCCCGTGGTAATGAAGGACGGATTGCTTCACAAACGGATTACAAGTGATTCCTGTGAAGAAACGCTCATTCCAATAACCTTAAAAGGTAAATATTTATCTAGAATATCTTCGTGGTGTGTTATTGTTAACTAAAAAATAAATATCTATATATTTTTAATGTGTTATTTATTAACATATTGTTAACCTAAAAATAAGCTTTAACTCAAAAAATAACAAATATGTGTTTACCAAATAGAAACCTAGCTGTCAATTTATTTGAACGTTTTCTTTTACCTTTTTGATTGAACACTGATTTGAAGGGATTTTTTTTTATAAGAGGAGGGTGTAGAACATATGAATGAAATGATCAATTTCCCATTTATTTTTGTCTGTAAATACATTGTCATTCTGACAAATTTTATATTTATCAATAAAAATAAAAAAATAAAGATTGTATATTTTTATTATAAATATATGAGAATGACAATGTTTTCCCCCATAAAACAACAAAACCTTCAGTATGGATATCCTAATAAAGTTATTCTACTTTTATAAAAGAGAACATTTTTTTCACGGTAGAAGGGTGTTTTAATTTTTTTTTTCATTTTCCATTGATTTATATTGTGAAAATAAACCTTACTATTACCAAAATATAGGAATACATCTCTGTTTTTAGCAAAAAGTGGCAAAAATACAACCATATTAAGTTTAATCTGCAAGCAAATAAATGAGATAATAATACCGAAAAACTTTTAATTCAAACCGGGGATTAAATTCAGAACTTTGGTCACTTAATTTAGACCCACTCTAAATTTGTAAATAAATTTATCATTAAATTAAACACCTACATGCAATAGAAAATTGAATATTATAAACGGCTTATCCATTTTGAAATCAATTTTATTCAATATTTCATTAAACTAACGAAAAGGAAGCATATTTTCATTATTCATTTTTCAGATGTGATAAACCGACAATGTTATTTGGACAATGACAGCAGAAACCTTTTGAATAATGAAACTTAATTATGCATTTAATTAATGTAACAAATGGGACATGTTTAATGTGTTTTTCTGAGAAAAGTTCATTAAAACATTTAAAAATTAACTACGGTCGTAAAATAATCTTGTCCTTTTTAACACGGAGAGTGAAATGCTTCATTTTTTCGATATAAAAGTAATCTGAGGATATAAGATAAATTACTCTAAGCCCCACTGTCTCTTATCTTGGTCCTATCATAATACTTTTGAATTCGATACGATTTGTCGATTTGATAAAATCGCTATTACTCTAGTAATTTGTTCAATTCTTCATTATGAATTATTTTCAATTTAACAAATTCAACAATTTGTCGTATTTCGAGTTCAAAAGTATTTTTAAATGCTATGTAGTGGCCCCCGTACCCTCTTTGTGAAAACACCAAACACATGTCAATAACAAAATTTTCATTCTTAAAAAAATGACTGTATGGTGATAATGAAATAAGGATGCAGTGTTTCCGCCATACTTTATGACTTCAGTTATTTTTTCCTTTCTATTTTCATTAGTCTTCTAGTATTATTGCAGTTACTATATTAAAATTACATTTTGATTTACAATTAAAGTACATGAAAGACAACTTATTATTTTATGTCGCACCTTTGATTGATGTTGCGAGTGAAACAAAAGAACGCTTAAATTTTGATCAAAGAAAGAACGCTGCATTGTGTTGGAAAATTCACTTAATGAGCATTATTTGGTTAATGCATTGAACTGTTTTATTTATATATAAAATATTCTGTTTGTCATGGCGTTACTGATACGAAAAGAAAAAAAAACAATGTTATTGTTTAAAAAGTAAGTCTATCCATTTAAAAGGAAAATATTTTTGTAGCATTTTAACCATGCCTAAGTTCGATTAAAGTTCTAAATGAAACATACGGAGATAACGAACAATATTCAAGCTCACAAGTTCTTTTAAAGAGTTCAAACCAGAAGCTGGCCCAATGCGGACATCTGAACCTTGAGATATGGGATCAAGTGCCATGATATTTCTCCAATATTTCTCCATCAATAAAATTTTTATCTATATGCCTCAAGCAAAGTTAATTGTCCTTTCACAACTGCAAGGTCTGCAAATTTTAAATGACATAATACTTAATTTAAGTCTTCTGAGAAATATTAATTTTAATGACGAAAATTTGTCGTTTTAAAGGAAATATTATATGATTATTAGACACAGTTAATGAATGAAAGGTCATTAACCACTTCATGCGTTAAACATGTACCATGTTCAGCAACACCATTTTTCCATGATCATGAAAGCGTTTGTTTTAATGGATAATATCTGTCATATACTATTCCAAAAAAAAGAAAAGTCTATATTGGCTACACTGGCTACAGTAAATAAGAACAATAGTCTATGATAAGTGATTAAAAATTCATTTAGATTTTTAAAAAATGTAAAAAAAAATCCACGCCAACTAATGGTAAGGAAATGATAATGAATTTCTCCATCCTTCTAGAATTCAAGCAAACTGTCAGTCCAGGAGATGGAAACTACAAAATGGTTTACGCTATCAATGGTCAGATCCCAGGACCAGATATCGTTGTCTTCGAGGACCAAGTTGTAAGTAACCAAAAACCTTTCACAACTTTGAAAAAGATGTGTTACATTTTTAATGAATTTTTTACTTGTGTCCGTTTCCAAAGAGCAAATACTGTTATTTCGACAGTGTTTTGGAAGTAAAGAGTTAAGAAAATCTTAATTCATTATACATGTAGCTAACTATAAAAGGAAATGCGTGGTTCTTTTTCTCTTCTACAAGATGTGATTTTATAACACTGAAGCACCCTCATGATAACTAGAAGTCCGAGGTCAAAGTAATGAGACTAAAAATGTTGGTTCCCGCAACAAGGTCTACTTATAAGGAATGTACAAGTGAAACATGAACAATCTCCCGCTAATTTTTTTTAGAAATGAAGGTCAAAATACATTTGTTTTCAAAAGGAAGTATAATTCCGAATCATATGAAGTCAACTACAAGGGTCAATGCTATCATACACCGTACACCATCAAACAAATTAATAAAGCCTAAGCACCACGGGTACGGAAGTTTTGATCAGATTTTTTTTTTCAAAATGCATGCATCCAACTCCAAATAATCAAGTTAAAGAACAAAAATCGTTCGATCTGTGTCAAAATCAGCCCTGTAAAAATTTGAGAAAAAAAACAAGTGGAGTGATATTTAACTTCAAGGTCTATAACAAATGTCCAGAGCTCTAACTTTGGTATAACTTTGGCAGAAAGCACGAGCGATTGGTAACAGTTAAAGTAAAAACTGGAGAAGTATTCCAGAAATCTACAACTGTTTGCATATATTCACGCATTTTTATGTTCCCCAAACGAAGTTGGGGAACATATTGTTTTTACTCTGTTTCTTATTATTCTTATTATTATTATTATTATTCTTCTCGGGAAAATTTTGTCCGCGAATGATCTTGTAAAGTACACATCCGATTAAGGGGAAACCTTTTTAGGGTAAGTAGGCATGTTATGTAGATTTGCGGAACGAAGGTCATTTTGCGCGCACGTGCAACACGTGAAATGACCAATATACTTGAAATTGCCGTAACTTTTACATTTTTCGATGTAATGATTTGATATTTAGAATATATATACATATTATAAATGTAGATAAGATGACATTGTCAGCATGCCATTTTGTGTGCACGTGCGTGCAAGAGCGCGCACGAGCAACACGTGAAATGACCGATTTAATTGATATAGGCGTAAATTTTTACTTTTTTGATGAAATGCTTTGAAACTCATAATATAAGGATATAGTAGTAGCATAGACAATATGACATGGTCAAAATAGCAAGATCTCACGCGCATGCACGTGTGCTTTGCTCTGATTGGCTGAAAATAAAGTCTCAAAATCTTTCTTGTTTTTTGATGAAATCCTTTGAAATTTTGAACATAGCCATGCATTAGGATATCCTACAACATGATCTATAACAATTTTCATGAAAACACGTGCATGCATGTGCGCAGCAATCTGATTGGCTGAAACTTGAAATGACTATAACTCCCTTGGTTTTCAACCAAACAGGATGGGATTTGGAACATAGATAGATATAATAGACTTCTACAAGAAGGTATGGTCATTATGCACATCCATACACGTGCGCGCACGTGCGCTGCAATCTGATTGGCTGAAACTTTAAATAGCTATAACTCCCTTAGTTTTCAACCAAACAAGATGAGATTTGGAACATAGATAGATATAGTGGACTTCTACAAGAAGGTATGATCATCATGCACATCAATACACGTGCGTGAACGTACGCTGCAATCTGATTGGCTGAAACTTTAATCAGCTATAACTCCCTTGGTTTTCAACCAAACGGAATGGGATTTAGAACATAGATAGATGTAATGGACTTCTACAAGAAGGTATGTCACCATGCTCATGTATGCACGTGCGTGCATGTGAAATGAGTAAAATCAAAAATACTCTTGAATGAGCGTATTTTTTAATACTTTTGGATTAAATACTTTAATATTTAGTATATCAAAGTATATAGATTGTATAGACAAGATGATATGGTCATTACGCACATGCATTCACATGCGCACGCGTGCAATGCTAAAATTTGAATGAACTTGGTACCCTTCTGGGTAAACGCTGTTCAAGTCTCAAATGCATAAAGTTTGTCTTATTTAATGAAGCTTATAGGGAATATGGCACCAAAAGGGAGATGGGGAGCGTTTGGGGAACATCTGTAACGGTCCCCGTTACAATTAGCACTAATTGTATTTGTTTTTGACATATAAAGATTTCGGTTCTTGTACACAACCACCTGAAAATTGAGGGCGTGACGGTTCACTGGCACGGCATGGTACACAGAGGAACACCATTCATGGACGGAGTCGATATGATAACTCAGTGTCCAATCTTACCAGGGCAAACATTTGAGTACAGGTGCGTATTTCATAAATACCTACTGATAAACAATTCGATGTATTGCTTGAAAAATTGGGAAAAAGATCAGAAAAAGAGGAAAAATGATGGAGAATTGTTTAAATTCATAAGGATAATGGAAAATGGATAAAATTTGAATATCATAGAGGTTTGCAAGTTTATATTTCTGTTTAAAACATTTCTGTTCACAGCACTTTATTTTTTAGCATTTACACGAAATAGATGTTGAAAAAAAAACCCAGTTAATATTCAGTATCTAAGATATTTGATAAAACCCATACTAAGTTTAAAAATACATGTATATACAAATCCAAAATGGGCAATTGTTTGTACCATGTTTCCTTAACAACCGATCAGAGACAGTTGAATATTCATTTCTATTTATATTTTGCATCATGATTAACCATTTATAGATAAGTTACTTCCACAGTACTAAAGATAAGAAATCTGCTTCAACCAAATCAATCTTGCAAACATTTAGGTTTCCAGCAATATTAAACCTATGTTATCTTGCATCTCTGGTTTCTAAATAATTAAAATAGCTAGAATATGATCAGCAATAGTATGATATGAACAAAAAAAAAAAAAAAAGAAGATAGGCTATGGGGATGCGAACTCTTCCATGGCATCCGATCCCACTCCTGATGATTTGGAGGCCCGTGTTTGCTCTGCTCCTATTTGGTATTGTAATGTATTTTTGATCCAGAAAACTGTTCGTTATCTCCATATGTTTTGTTTTAATTTGTATCGTAAGGCAATAAGCAACGGTTGAAAATAAAAAAATAAGAATTTAAATTTAAATTTTATCTCCATTGACAGATTCGTTGCCTCTCCTGTGGGCACCCATTGGTATCATGCCCACACTAACAGCATGAGGAATGATGGACTGGCAGGTGCCCTGATTGTATTACCCAGAATTAGACCATCTATAGTAAGTTATTCTGATAAAATTATGACTGAAAAGGTAGTTTCTAATCAATTGTGATTTTGATCGAAGATATGTGTTACGAATCTTAAAATATATTACAATTATTGTTCCATTTTTTTCTGAATAAAAATAAGTTTAATACAATTAAGAAAACAGACAGTGCAATGTTACATGTACATCCATGACCAAATAATGCTATTCTTGATATATAAGAGACAACGACTTTTAAAGGTCATGATAATTGAAATTTGTGTAATTATGTAAATAATGTATCTAAGAGTAACTTTGCGCACCCAATGTATACAACGTATATTTCTCAGTAACTTTCATTATCTTGGAATCATCCCTTTGGTATTAAAAAAAACCTTAACAGTAAATACTAAATTTCAGGAAGTTTATTGACTTAAGTTAATTATTTGATTTTCTCCATATATTTTATTGACTTTTTGGGGGGGAGAAAATCATTGAAGAATGACAATTGATTGAATTGAATGATTGATAATTAAAACAATTACTGACAATTTTTACTCCTCAGTGGCACCTGTTCCAATTTCTTATATTTTTTAAAGTCTGCTTTTCCTCTACCTTCAATTTATATTTTTCAAAATGACTTTTGAAGATAATCATTGTTCGTTATCTCCATATTCTATGCAAAAGAATGTGAAGATTTAGTGTTTATAAAATGGAATTAAGTATTAAATGATATTTCCTTTTCATACAGTGGCTGGAACGTTATTGTTGACAACTATATTACACGAACGATTCCGCACGATTAACGCACGATTAAACCTGTTACACGAACGATCTTTCACGTTCACGATTCTACACGTTACACGATCTTACACGATTGTTAACGCAAACGCACGATTCATTTAGTTCAAAATATTTAGGAATCAATATTTTCAAAACGAAATACGTCTTAATACTTATTTAAGATTTCAAAGAATTATCAATATTATTTCATAGACTTTGAAGAAAAAAACGGAAAATGATATTTCTGTAACAAAATATACACGACTTAATATTTTAGATTAAAAATAATTATTTCTTAGACAATTCTCCGATCAAAAAAACGGATTTTGTTCGTTCTATTAGGCGATGTACATGTATGTGGGTCGTATGATTTGATTGAATTGGATATCATGATATACAGAAAGGGGGATACGATTGAAAAAAATGGCAGCATGGAATGACTTAAATTATAATTACAAATTTTACCCTTATGTTTCCAATGATTCAATGTCTGATAAACTTGCCAATTATTCAACTTTTTTATTTGCAGAAATTTAAAATTAATTAATTACAAACAGGCTCAAGAGATAAACACAGATAATCAAAACTCCCGAAAATCATGCCGTGTCCATGTATATTTGTCGACTAACTAGTTATATAAGCATTGAGAAATGTTTATTTCTTTGTAAAAAAAAAAATATATATATATATATATTTATTTTCAATGAATTGATTTCAAGGTTATCTTGACCACAATAAGAAGTATAAATAATAATTAAAATCAGATTTTTCAAAAAGGCGTTAAAGATCTAAGTACGGTTTATCACAATATCGATCGCGCTATTTGACGAGAACTTAATATTGTACGACTTACTATATTGCTTGTTTACGGGCGATAATTAGTTCGTTCTGCATTCTATTATGTAAATTGCACTTTTTCATTTTATTTGGATTTTAATTAATAAATTAAGAAAAACAAAGAAGGGAAATGCTTATTTTACAAATAACATTCCGATAAAAACTTACAAAACGAAATTTACACGATTCTAAACGCACGATCTCGCACGATTAAAAACGCACACGATTGAGTCTGATGCACGAACGATCTTGCACGTTACACGAACGATCACTCACGATACACGAACGATTCTACACGATTGGTTTGTCAACAATAACGTTCCAGCCACTGTATATCTACTTCAATATTTTCATTGATTCATCCTATGCATGAGTATTGCTACACAACAAATTTTCTTCATTTATAGAAAATCCTACCTGATGCACTTCCGGACGTAGATGAAGAATTTTCAATTATTTTGCAAGACTGGACGAAAAAGATGTCCCAAGAAAAGTTTTATTCAACAAAAGGACTGGCACTGTAATATACACTGAAACGCAAAAGAAATCAGAAATCATCTTAATTTTAGGAGGAAAATTGAATTGACGACGATTTTTTCCCTTATTTCTCGATCATGACAAGGAGCTCACGGCAGGTGTCACCGGTCAGCAGGGGATGCTCACTCCTCTATGGCACCTGATCCCACCTCTGATGTTTTGGAGGTCCCTGTGTGCTCTGCTCCTATTTTGTATTGATATTGAATGCTGTTCGTTATCTCCATATCCTTCTTCATGTTATAACATCATACCTTTAAAAAAAGTTGTCATCTTCAAATTTGCCAAATGAGTAATTTAATGCGACGGTTTAAAAAAAAATATAATTGCTTTACTTAAACATCTACAAACCCTTGAAAACCTTAATAAATGTCAAATGTTTGATTAAACATGCGTTTTTTTTTATTTCTGTTAAGTGGGCTCAACATCAACTTCCAGTAAAGGAATGAAAATCATTCAATTGTATAAATATTGATTTGGTAAATTTGAAGATGTTCCTACTTTTTTAAGTACAAAACTACATGTATAACCTTTATATACCCCCCCCCCCTAAAATTAGAATGTTGTGTTGCTCTTTGTATGTCAAACATAATGTTCAACAGCACGATACATTCAATTAGAAACACAAACTGTTACGAAAAAAAAGTTATAAATTAAATTATGTTTACACATGATGTGCTTAAAAATCATTCCACAGTAAGTATTAAAAATAAGTTATAAGCATCATAGGAAGCATACTTAAAAGGCAAATCATTCTTAATCTTTATTTTTGTCAAGTTTGGATGAATACGACGGAATTTGTTTATCACAAGCTCAGCGGCCGGATGGATCCGTGAACAGATTTCAATTACACATGGGACTTGTGAATGGACTGGGTAATCTATGATTTATATACTTCTATTTGTTTCCGTCTTTCTTTGACATGAATTCGTGTTTTTCATTGTTGAAAGGGATTATTTCATATAAAACCTCATATAGGCCCACAAAGAATTTCCATCCTACTTTACAAAAAGAAACAAGATGTGTTTGTGAAACACTATGCGCCGGGCGGCAACAAAGTTTAAAAAACATATGTTTAGCATATAGGTCACAGTCAAGGTCATAAGGTCATTGATCTTGGTGTCTTTTGAAAGAACTTGATTAGTGAACTATGCATATCAAATATGATATCTCTATCTCTCATGGTTCAAAAGTTATGGTGAAGATTCAAAAAAGCTATCTTCATGACCTTGGCGTCATGTGAAAGGGCTTAATCAGTGGAGAATACGTGCCAAATATTAAGTCTCTATCTTTCTTCGTTCAAAAGTTATGGCGAAGGTTAAAGTTTGCCGACAAAAAAGCTATATTTAGCATATAGATCACAGTCAAGGTCACAAGGTCATTGATCATGGTGTCATTTAAAAGAGCTTAATCAGTTGTGTATGCATACCAAATATAAAGTCTCTGTCTTTTATGGTTCAAAAGTTACGGCGAAGGTTAAAGTTTGCAGAAAAAAAACTATTTTAGCATATAGTTCACAGTCAAGGTCACAAGGTCATTGACCTTGGTGTAATTTGAAAGAGCTTCATATGTGAAGTATGCATACTAAATATGAAGTCTCTTTCATTTGGTTCAAAAGTTATGGCGAAGGTTAAAGTTTGCAGACAAACAGGCAAACAGATAAACAGACAAACAGACAGGACAAAAACAATATACGCCTCGGATCTTTCGATTCGGGCGCATAAACATTGTTATGCTGCACATAAGTGACATGATATTGTGATTTTTTGCATGTTATTTTTAAATTGATTTTAAATACTTCCTTTAACTTTGGAAATAATAAACTAGGTTCATACATCTTTTTTTCTGTGACATAACAAAAAATGGATTTGTAAATTTCGTAATTATATGCATGTAATATTTTGCTTTCTAAAACACACGTACATGTAAAGAATAAAGAAAATTCAGTAAATATTTCAAGAGTTTTAATCTAAAGTATTTTTACAATTCAAAAATTTACAAATTGATATAATAATATATTTTTAAGCTTATACAAAACATTATCTCTTTGTTTTATTTTACTTTGTAGGAAGAAAATATGTTCATGACGATCCAAATGTTCCAGAAAAGCCTTTCATTCCATTGGAGACTTTTACCGTTAAACAGAACCATTATTACCGTTTCAGAATAACTAATGTGGGAATCAGCTCAGCATTTGAAATTTCCATTGACGATGTAAGCATTTTATGATATTTACGTCCACTGAATATTATTCAGAAGAAATTGAAATTTTTACTTTTGCAATTGTTTGTATCTTTTTTGACAAAATTCTGAAATAATCACTATAAACTTTGATTAAAGATAACAGACATACGTTGTAACTCGACTAAAAGCTATTGCAAACACATCATTTTATGTTGTTTTGTTTAATTTGCAGCATACGCTTATTATCGTAGCCATTGACGGAAATGACGTAGAACCATTCAAAACTGATGTCGTTACAATATCTCCAGCTGAGAGAGTTGATTTCATTGTATTTGCTGGACGTTCGCCAAATAACTATAATATCAATTTTGTGACTGCTGCAACCAGGTTTGCAACAGGGGTATGTTCAATATGATGTCTCCAGCGGATTCTTCTATTCATTCAATTTAAATGTTAGATGGTCTTAAATTTCACTTTACAAAAAAAAAATATAAAAGATAATTTTAGAAATAAAAAGAAATATAAAGAAAAATATTTTAAAAAATGAAAAAAAATGTAATCGACGTGACATAATTTTTCTTTAAAAGAGGGTTTTTTTTAAAAAAAAAAATATTTGTAAGACAGTATTAAAATTTGAAATTCAAAAAATTCAGTTTGGTTTTGCCTAACTCTTTTAATTAAAATTAATTTAACTTATTTAGAAAAAGATGACCAACAGACAACGTACATACGGAGTGTTAAATTACCAAGGTGTAAATAAATATCTTACTCCGGTCCCCCGTCACAGGGAGTGTACACATATTTTGCCATGTATTGTGGTGAACCAAGTCTATGGGTAAAATTATTTTTCCTTCTTCCATATCTGTGCTTTTTTTCCCATTCATCTTTTTGTATTTGGTTATTTTCTTATATGATAAAGATATACTTCTTCTTCTTTTGATATAGGCAAAGACTAATATAATGTGCTATTTTTTTTACATTGAAAAAGGTGAAAATAACACATGAAGACAGTCATTTTAAATAAAATTTTTCTAATGTCTTTTCGAATTTACATTGGACGTTCTAAGAATAAAGTTTTGTGTTACTTAACTTTCCCCATTTTTTTACTTTAAGACTCTATCCCATGAACACACACATAGTAAATGTACCAATTACAAATCTTAAGTCAACTCCGTGGGCCTTGAAGAAGAATCCAGTCCCTCTTGTGGGACCGGGAGATTCCAGACAATTGTTTTTCCTTAACTTCCATCTCGAGGGTAAGTGTCAAAACATATTAAACGGAATTTTTCAGATTTTATTTTTTTTTTTTACATACATTTTATTTTATTCATATTTTTTAATAGATGATACAATGTCCAATAAGTCAGAACACACTTTAGAATATCAGTGATTTCAAAATTTTTTTTTTTTATTTTATGCACTGATATTCGATCTTCAATTCCAATGTTTTCTAATTAAATAAACAAGGCAGAGAAAAACCTTTTGAAAGAAAAAACGTTGAATTGCCGAATGTGATATTTATCCACAATTCACTTTATCTTCAATCTTTGTACTCTCTCTTATTTCAGATAACGGACCACGAATAAATGGCATTAAATTTCGCCTACCAACTTCAGCACTACAGGTAATTTTTTTTTAAATGTTAAAGCTATTGGACATTATGTCACATGCACCACATGTACAAAAATATGTCCAATAATGTATTGCAGACTTAGGCGTTTTGGAATTCAAATACAAAGCCAATATTCCCATGATAAATTCACCTAATTTTCAAATGATATGCGTATCAAATAAATTACGATTTTAGGGTAGCACGATTTCGACATGGCATTTGATTATAGGCAGGTTTTATTGCATCTTCGCTAGCCAAGAGTTTCTTATTCGCGCTACTGTCCTTTAAAACCCCTGACCTTTGGTACTGTCAAAAAAGAATTATTTTCATCACATGATCTCGAACCTTACAAGGCACACATATTACGTCATCAAAAGAAATAAAAATGTATTTAAATCACACAAGTTTTTAAAGAATAGTTAACACCAAGATATTAATTAGTGTTCATATTTAATCATAGAATGACATTCGACCGTTCTTTACTTGCGTTTGTTTTTTCATTCCCGAGAATAAAGAGGTAAAATGTGTCCCGAACGCAGATATTATCATTTGAAAAAAAAAAAAACACAACAAAAAAAAACAAACAAACAAACAAACAAACAAACAAACAATTTTTTAAATGTTATTTTGTCTTGTTTAACTGGAAATTCAAGTATCTGGACGTTTCACAAATCCGGACAAATTGACTGGGAACCAAAGCGTACGGATAAATGAGGCTCCACTGTATACACTGTAGGCCAAGGATTAATTAGGAGAGTAGTAAAAATGGTTTATTGTTTATTGTGGTATGTGAATTCCATTATTCCTTTTTTAGACCTACCCAGGACCGGATGCCGTTGTTCCATGTGGACCAGGAACGTGTAATGAAAAGGAATGCAGATGCACACATATGCTGAAACTAGGCTTAGGAAATATAATAGATTTTGTCCTCTTCTCTTTCAGTAAGATTATTTCGAAAATTATTATAATCCATGAAAATATTATACATAAGGTATACAAGTATAAGTAATAAGCATTTGTCATTTAATTTCCAGGCGACAGGAAGGCTGCCCATCCAGTTCATTTACATGGACACCATTTTCATGTCCTTAAAATAGGATATCCTCCATATGATATCAAGACAGGAAATGCCACCGCAAGAAACCCTGAAATTACATGCTTTAATGAGCCTTGCACAAAAGCAGCATGGACGAATCCCGGGTGGAATTCAGGAAAAATTCCTGGTTTGAACTTAGTGAACCCCCCTATAAGAGACACAGTTGTTGTTCCTGCCAATGGTTACGTCATAATAAGACTAAGAGCCGATAACCCAGGTAATTATGCTGCCATCTTTATGAACCATTTTATACCGGGGCGGATCACTTTTTTTTATTTTCTCAAGGAAGCTTAAGATTTTTAAAATTAATTTCAACAAAAAAATTTTAAACTTTTTAAACGGCATTATTATTGACACATTCACAGTTGCTTTTTGTTCGGTACGCCCGTACTTTGAATGTGCCAAGGGACACACCATAAAACGAAACACTCACTTAAACGGTATGATATATTTATACATTGTAGACTTATATTTGTTTTTAGGATTTTGGTTTATGCACTGTCATTTTGGACATCACCAGACACAGGGAATGAATTTGGTAATGCAGGAAGGAGATATTGAGCATATGCCAAAAGTCCCTACGAATTTTCCTACATGTAATAACTTCCTGCTCGACCCTAAGCAATGGCTGGTGTCCTTAAAGAGGGAAGAAGCGAGGCGGAAGTCACTGGGTTTCAGATACTAATTCCGGAAGAAAATTGTTATTTTTCGAATTAATTTTGATTTGCATACAATTGGAGAGGGTCAACCAAAAAATAAAATAAAGATGTAATGAAAATAAAATCAGTTGATTATTTATGACGTATGCTTTTATTTATCAGCCACGATACAAGTCATTTTAAAATCCATTTAATGTATATATTCAAAGTTGGTCAAACCTTATTACAATAAATATAAATCTTTAAATTCTCCGCTAATTGCTTATTAAGGATTTCAGAAGAACTTTTATTTGTACATTAATTCCACTACAGAGTATGCTACCTGTTTATCATCAAAATCACAACATGCATCTTATTCATGTTTTTTTTTAAAAATTCTTATTCATGGTTTTTTTTAAATTCTCTGTTTCATCATTCTGGAAGACAACGTATCGTATGACACCGACTTTTAAAATTTCAATTTGCAAGTATATAAATTATATAGGCATTGGAAATAGGGGTTCACCTATTTTTATTGGTTTAGCCCCCCACTTTCAATTAGCCCCTCCCCCCCCATTCAATTTGCTTCCGACGCCTATGTATTGTAAAGGTTATCTAGACACTTCTGAAATTTTTGGTGTTTGATTTATTTACAAATTCATCAGAAAACCGAGCAGTGTCGCTGGAAAACAAAGAAAAAAGACTGATATATCTGATTCACTAAATGCATTTCAAGAGCAGGAAACATGGTTTTGTTTTAAAAAAACAAACACCTATTCTCAGAGTCTAGAAAGTAAAAAATCGACAGGGCTGATAAGAAATTTCTACTCATCTAAAATATCTCTTTGGAGGCTTTTGGAGCCAACTCTTTTCCCCTGATTCACCTCCAATTTAATTATACAAACCATGGTACTACCCTATACAGGCATATGGTATAATTCGCAACAAAGCAATCTCTGGCTAGGATAGCTGTCATCTTTAAAACCGCTAAAAAAATTGGCATTGTACTTGTTTTCGTTAAGTGCCCAATGGGTGAAGTCGTTAGTCGTTTATCAATATGATGCATTTAGGCTGCATTTCTTTTTTCGACTTTGTTTGCGATTCTCCTTTAGACAAAGAATCTAGATTACCCCCCCCCCCCCCTTTCGACTTTGATTTTTTGGGAGGAAATTAACAGTAGGCAATCCTCTAGTACATAAAGGTAGATGTCAGAATTTTCTTCGTTAATTTTCTTCTTTTTATTTCAGTTAAGACACATTAGAATCATTATTGTTCAAGACATAAAAAAGTCTCAACCAACAGCCTTGAAGAAAAAGGCTGAGTAAAAGTTCTGGATAAATAAATAAGCTTTACATGAATTTACAAACACTTACTTTTGTTCTGCTAATGTTGACCCTCTATTCAATAAATGTTAGAATCTGGAACAAAACACAGAAATAAGACTGCTGTAGCTTGGTTACCGTTCGTTACATTAAATTTTACATATTTTCATTGGGTCAAACTTTCGAGGTTTGAAAGAGGTACTGTGAGAATGTTTGGTAGTAATTCATATGAAATTTTAAATTTGGCGGTGGTCATAAATTTGTAGGTCTCTCCACATCCCGAAATCAATGAAAATTAGCCCCCAGCAAAAATGAGTGATTTCACAGAATATTACAAGCTAAAACTTTTTATAGGAATAAAAGCGCAGAAAAATAGAAAATGAAGAAATCATCTGGCCTACACATTAATCAATTAATTAAACTGTATCGTTGAACTTGTATTCTTGTCTACTGCACATTTGCACATTTCTGAGGAACACTCCATCAAAGCAGTTAATCACTGGGTATTTTCAGAAAATGATTTCCAAATCTTTTTCCTGTGACTTTATCTAGAGTATGAAAAGTGATAGAATATACTGATAAATTTTATTTTTAAATTTATGTCCGTCATGAAAGATTCTTATGGCAGTCTGTTAAGGTAATATATGTTTTCCAGTACGTAGTCTGAGTAGTGTTTTATGATATATAAAGCTGATAATGTCCTAAAATATCTCAAGAAAGGAACTTACTGTCTGTGATGTAAGTATTGTCAAAAAATATGTTATCATTAAAATCACTGAAATGTGAACACTTGAGCTTTTTCTCTTCTTCCATATTTCTGTATGATTTCCTGATTTTCTGATATATACGATCAGAAAGCAGCTATATCAGCAACGATATGTGTTGCATGTTTTCAATAAACATGGTAAAAGAATCTATTTAACAAAGAAAGTTAGAACTTGACTTTTATGATTTTAATTTTGGGATTTTAAAATTAAATACTTTTTTTTAAATTGCAAATGCGTTCTCACAGATAAAAGACCGTATTTTTGTATTTTACGACTTCGTTCTCAGAACAGAGAAAGTTAAACAATCCTAAGAACTTTTTCTATATTCCAAATGAAAGCTGTGCAGATAACGAATATTTTTAAAACTCAACAAGTTCATAAAACAATAGATTGATTGATTGTATACTTTTTATATATGATATTCACCATTGCCGGTGAAGGGCTGAAATTTAGGCCTATGCTGGTACTCAGGGCCATTGAGCAGGGAGGGATCTTTATCGTGCCACACCTGCTGTGACACGGGGCCTCGGTTTATACAAACCGCCCCATTTAGTCGCCTTTTATGACAAGCAAGGGGTACCGAGGAAAACACAATACAAAGAAAATATCAGTAAGAGGAAACACAGACCTACAAAGCATCAGACGTGAGATCATATGCCACAGAGGAGTGAGCATGCCCTGCCAACCGGGTCACACCCGCTTTATTTTCTTTCCTGAATAATTATGGATGAATATATTTTCCTCTTAAATCAGCGACAGTTCTCAGAAATAAATATTCATAAATGTAACCTGAAATATGTTTTAGAGTTTAAGAGGAAGCACATTTTGTTAGATTGTGTAACAACGTCAAAAAAAGTGCAAAATTTTGTGTAGAAATATATAGAAAACTATACTATACTATACAAATATCTTAGTACCAAATAAACCTTACAATTTCGTTGTCTTTTATGATTTTATTTTTTACTTTATATTACATGTAATTCAAAATCAATCTATGCACCACTTTTTTGTTATATTTATACTTAAGTCAAAAATATAGTACATGTATATTTATTGCAAATAACAGATTGATAAGATATTTAAAAACGCTTTTTATTTGCAAATTTATTTTGATTTTAAGTCATTCTGAAATATTTTAATTCATTTTCAATGATTCAAAAATATAACCATAATACATGTGTAGTAAGGTATCCGTATATGGAACGATATCATCTTGTTCACTTGTCTCCAAGTAACTTCTCGATTGGTAGAAAAAAATTATTTCTCCTCCCACTTTCGTCCGAATGATTTAAATATATCATTATAGATATTTTTGTTGTTGAAAATAATTTTTCTATGGTACAGCTATCTTGTCCAACACCTGGCTTCGAAATGAAGATAACATTTTTACTGTGCCTGGTCTGCATGTTAGTATCCGTTTTAAATGCACAAAGAGGTATGCAACTTAAAGATATCTCAGATTTTTTATGGATTTTAAACGGTCATTTTTGTTGAGTAAAGCTACGATCTTTTCCCACCATGAATTGCACAAGTAAATTACTTTGATTATGTAGATTTTATTAGCCAGACGAACTTTTGAGGATAGGGGGAGTCAGAAATAAAGAGAGAATGTTTATGAATTGATAGAATTTAATATAAAATACATGTGTTCTCAAAACTTTGTACCGAATGTCTATAATTATACTATGTTCTGGAATTTTTCCTGAAAAACGTTCAGGTATCAAACGGACCAATATGGACTAGAAAAAAATGACAGTGGTCGCTGATTGAAAGGAAATCAATTCATGTGCAAGACTTACATTTGAAGGATTAATTTTCAGGTTATGGTACCCAGTCCTAAATATTTGCAATTTTTCCTACCTTAAACGCCTATCATTCTATTTTGAATATTTATGATATTAACATATATGTATATTGTTTTATCTAGGGTCAAATTCGACTGTTGTAAATGTTGCTTGAGCACGTACTAAAATTATTGGAAAAATCCAAGGTAATGTAAATTTTTTTTTGTTTTATTTTCATCTTTGTTCATGAACGTTGATAATTTTATATTAATTAGCGAATCTCTGTTTATTTTCATTTCCGTCATGGTTTAAGTGCAAAAGTAGGCTGTAAATTAGTTTAGAAGCTTATAATAAGTCGCCTACACTTAACAGAAATTCAAAGATTAAGTACAAAAAAAAAAACAGAAAAAAAACAAAAAAAAAAAAAAAAAAAAAAAAAAACAAACAAACAAACAAACAAACAAAATATAAACAGACTATAATTTTCCATAAATAATTTTTTATAAAAAAAATTTTAAAAGTCTAACCAGACTTCCTTTACATATTTTATTAGGTATTCATGTGATGCATTCATTTACAGCAAAATTTTTACAAGAAAGCATCTAATTTGGATGTAAATGATTTTTTTCATTTTCTTTGAAAAAATACAAAAAAATTCATATAAAATAATTAACAGCTAATGTCGGCCTTTCAATGCTGAAACCATTGTTTAAAAATGTTGACTCAGAGATCTATAAAATAAGAAGTTGGTGCGGCATTCCTCCTTAATCACTGGGTATTTTCAGAACATGATTTCCATACCGTTTTCCTGTCTCTTCTATCTAGAGTATGAAAAGTGATAAAAGATACTGATAAATTTAATTTTGAATTTACATCCCTCACGAAAGATTCATATGGCAGTCTATAGAGTCAATATATGTTTGTCTGCACGTAGTCTAAGTAATGTTTTACGATATATAGAACCGATAAAGTCCCGAAATATCCATAGAAAGCAACCAACAGCATCTAAGGTAAGTACTGTCATTAAAAAGTTGTTATCACTAAACTGCTTACACTTGAACTTTTTTTTGGTTTCATATTTCTGTAGAATAGATTTCCTGAATCTTTGATATATAAGATTACTTAGAAAACAGCTAAATAAGCAATAATAGACTTTGTATGTTTTTAATAAATACGCCTAACGGTGAAGAAACCATTTAACGAATCATAATTTAACTTGACCTTTCTTATTTCAATCTTGGTATATAAAAAATAAATAGTTTTTTTAAAATTGCAAATATGTTCTCAAATATTAATTACGGTTAATGTTTGAGGGCTTTGTTCTCAGAACAAGGAAAGTTAATCAACTCTAAGAACTTTTTTATATTCAAAATGAAAGATGTAGAGATATCGAACAGTGTTCGAACTCAAATTTTCATTAAACATTGCAAAATCTAAAACAACAGAGGTGGGATCAGGTGCAATGGTATAGTGGAGTGAACACACATGCCAACTGGGTCACACCCACCTTTATTTTCTTTCCTGAATAATGATGAATGGATAATTTTTTATCTTCTTAAATCTCTATATTTCTTACAGATTAACATTCAGAAAGGTTAGCTGAAATATACATTTTCGAGGTAAAGAGGAAGAGCATTTTGTAAGATTTTGTCACATTTGTCAAAAATATGTGCAAAAGTTTGTACATAATTAAATATTATAAAGAATACTTTACAAAGTCCCAATTAAACAATATAAAAAGTGAGAATACAAAGTATCTTAGCTCCAAATAAATTAACAACTTCTTTGTATTTTAAGGTTTGATTCTTTATGCTTTATTTATTCAAATCAATCATAAATTAATCAATGCATAACATTCTTGTTTGTGTTACATGTTTATAATTATACATGTATATACTTCAGCATCGTCGCAAACCACGGCCATTATGTACGGTCCTCTCCCATTCTGGAGAAAGAGAGCTATATGCGGACTCCGGGCCGTGGCTTGAAAGGATAATACTTCAGGAAATAATGTTTCTAATGCAATGTGCAGCACTATATTTCCTACATGTAATGAGAATATTTTTGCAGTAATAATGCTTACGAAAATAAATTTATGATTGACACTTGAGTATTTGAAATCTTGGATGTAAAGTTTAATTGTAATGCTACCAAAATTTGATTTTTCTTTGGGAGGGGGGGGATTAAAACCCTCTGCAGTAATTAATAAATATGTCAGTCAAAAATGAAAGAGTGATTGACTCTAATTATAAGGCCATTATTAGAGAAAATTGGACGGAAAACTTCATCAATGCGCGTAGCGCATTGATGAAAAAGTTTTCCGTCAAATTTTTTTTTGATACATCGATCAAAGAAAAAATTATTACATTCATTTCTTAAAGATTTTGAGAAAAAAAAATCTTAAATTTTGTATTTAGAATTGTTCATTGGAATCACATTTACATTTTCTGATGCTACTTATTGATTTGTAATTGAATATAATTGTACTTTATTATGGCAATTTTATGAAATTCTGTATATGAAGAAATCTTCATAGATTGTAGAATTTGTTTTTATCTTTTCAACTTTATCAATAAAATATGTTCAATTTAAGCTAACTATCTTAAACTATGATGTCTGGGTTAGGGTAAGCGTAGATGATTTTAATGGATATTAAGATATAGCTTTCTGAATTGTCTAATACAATATATAGATAAATGAATTTTAAGCAAAACTTAATTTAATTGATACTTATATCCTTGAGCACATTTTAATGCTAAATTAGATGAATTTTAAAACTCACGCTCTAGGGAATTGAATCTGAAGTAAAGAATACACCTTATTTAGGATTCAATTATGTTTCATAATTACTATTTTAAAACTAGGCATTAGAACGTCATTACTACTCAAAGTCTTTTGAACTGTTCGAGGACGTTGGACCGATTGATCTGATAAATTTTTATATCATTTAGATAGGTCAGCCCCCTTATCTATTGTGTATCACGAATTCTGGAACATCTAAAAATATGGCGGCCTACATTGTTCTTAGTCTTATATTAGTACAGGTTTTTGAAATTAACGGTAAGCCTTTTTTATGTTAAAAACCCATGTGTTTCAGATAATTTTTATTAAGCATTTACTTAACTAAATTACAATTTATAAAAATAACTTTTGAATGCTTGCTTTATCCTTTATAATTTGGAAGATTTTGTTCTTAAAAGTCAGATATATATCTGAACTATAATTATGTATAACATTCAGAAATCTTCAAAATATAAGCTTAAAAACAATTGGGAAAATGCCAAATATTTATAGCTTAAAGTGTTAAAAGATAATCAAGTATTAATCAGAACTATGTTTAGAAGATGTGGATCAAAGGTTAAATGAATCAATAAGATATACAGTTGTAGCAGACTTTTGCGAAGAAAATATTTAGATGAAAGATCTGAGGTACAGTACAATTCAAAAAACGTTATCGAGTACAAAGCGTCGCATCAATTGTTCAGACTCTAGATTGGAACTTTGTCGGTACTTTTAAGCACTAATCTCAAAATTTTACTTACTGTGACTTTGATTACTTTAAGTTTTAATTGATAATTTCTTCAAAACCGGTTATTAGAACTCATCGGCTTGTAATTCGGACCATCAATATATAAGTACGAGATAATCAAACCAAACATCGATTTTTCAATTGTTTTCAGAGGGTTAAATTTAACGTAATCATACAGCTTCGAAAGTGTGGACTCTCTTGGTTGAAAGAGTGCTTGCAAAAACCGAATTATTTATCTAAGACTTAAAGAGTGTATTTTGAATTTCAAAAAATAAAAAGTTTAGATGACCTTTCAGTAAAAGTAGGAGTCACATATAGCTTAAACCTCGAATTTAACTTCTTTTTAAGCAAACCATGTAATTTGATTAAGAATTTTTACATTACTTGTTATTTGTTGTGTTAGTGTGTCTTTCTCTGGAGAAAAATGTACAATTTCATCATGTGCACAACTTGTAAATGTTTTTCATTTGGTCTGTGGATCCTACTCTATATTTTTTAAATGTAGTTTCATCCAGTACAGTGTATTACTTGTGCAGGTCTATGTCACTTTAACTGTGTGTCGCACTCTGTAGGTTTTGCGTTTACAGTGTAAGTTTCATCTTTTACTGTACATTTATTATAGTTGTTTGTCATCTGGTTGGTCTGTCGCTAGATAAAATTAAAATTTCATTCTGTATTGTACATTACTTGTAGCTGTATGTCATTTGAACTGTTTGTCACTCTGTGTAGGTTTAACGTTTTCAATGTAAGTTTCATCCTATACTGTAGATTACATGTATTTCTAGTTGTAGGTCATCTGCATATTGTGTCTTACTCGCTAGATGAATGTAGAATTTCATCCTGCATTGTACTTTACTTGTAGCTGTATGTCATTTGAACTGCTTATCACTATCTGTAGGTTTAACGTTTACAGCGTAAGTTTCATCCTATATACCGGTAGTACATTTCATGTAGCTGTATGTCATTTGAACTGTGTATCGCACTCTGTAGGTTTTACGTTTACAGTGTAAGTAACATCCCATACTGTACATTTCTTGTAGCTGTATGTCATCTGGACGGGGTATCTTACTCAGTCGGAGACACGTGGGTAGCAGACGATGGCTGTAACCTGTGCACGTGCTACCAATCCGGGATGCATTGTACAACAGGCGACTGCACATTTCCCCGTGAGTTGCAACTTTTAAATACACAATGTTCAAATCAATTAACATGGCCTTAGCGTTCTTCATCTTTAGATTCCACCAGTATATTCCATTGTTAAGCATTGATCGGTTATTGTTGTTTCATATTAACCTCAAGCTTTAAGAAAGACTTCTATATGTTATGAAACTTTCATATCTAGTCCAGTAGTTTCTGAAAAAGATTGGAAACTTTTTGTCTATAAATTGCTGTGTTTACTAGACTAAGAGCGGTCCAGTTCTACTCAAAAACGTCTAGATGTATACAGACTTGATTCCTTTACCTGAAAGTTCTTGCATATAAATTTGACTAATCAGACATTATGGTATTCTTCATCAAATTATCAAAGATAATATAAGTTATTTTTGTAGTGCCATCTTTTTGCTGTATACCTACTGTTTTTATATTTTTTGCAAATATTGTTTATCTGTAAATTTAGGGGATCAGTATATTAATATGTATTTGTGCGATTACCTATTGATCTGATCCCCTATCATGTGATGTATATATTTTTTCTTATTTCGTCATTTTGATAAATGACATATTTCATCTCAACAATGGTGTATCACGAATTTTTTTTATTTGATTACATCTCAGCAAAAACAGAGCTGCTTTGAGATTGTGCAGCATGAAGAAACATAAATCCCACTATGTTAGCCTGTATTTGATGTATTTTGCATGCTTACATAGACAGGTGCCTCTATCACGGAAGGAGTTATGTAGAAGGGGACCGGTTCCTGGCATCTGACGGGTGTAATCACTGCCTGTGTACACTACACGGGGCTGCCTGTACAGAAATGGCATGTGCTGTCTCCGAAACAACAACAGCTGCTCCCCAACCTGTAGGCAAACGTAAGGACATTTACTCAAACACACCTAGAAGTCGCAACATTGCTTTGATACACTGATAACATTTTTTGCTATAAAATGGCGTACTTTCCGAAGGGATAGGGGTATTTTTGTTGTTTTCTAAGTTTAAAAGAAAACCACGAATTTGTGTTAATCTTAAAGAGAACATTTTGGCATACATGTAGGTGGCAATAAGAGCTCAAACGTACAACAAAACATCTCATAGCCACGATATCAAATTATTATATCAATTTCATGGAAAGGGTTTATAAAGGCCATGCTTGCTGCCTAATCCATTTATGTATCTTTCACATAATAAGATATGTTCAAATCAAAATGAAATATCAATAGGAAATCAAAATTACTTTTCTCAAAAAACAAAACTCTGGTCATACGAAAAATAAATGGTTTTGCTGTATTACCGCTATCAAATCATAACAAAACTGGTTTTACAAGTCTTCAGGTTTTTTATTAATCATATAATAATTTAAGATATCTTGGTTTAATGTAGGTGAGATGACGACCACAGCTACCGTCCCTCAGACCGGAGGTTGCCATTATAACGGTAAGACGTACTGGGCGGGCGACAGCTTCCGGGCGACAGATGGATGTAACACGTGCTATTGTTCAGCGCATGGTGGCGCCCTCTGCACAGAAATGTTCTGTGGCCCAAGTATGACTGTATATTAATTAATGAATTCGGAATATTATTCACTAAATTCTTAATTTATTAATTAGAGAAGATTTGAATGTTTATTATTCAATAATATTCATATGTAGCAAAATACGAAGTAAAGTTGTATGACTTGATTTTTTTCTTTAAGTGTTACTCTGCCATTACAACGGAACTGATCACAAGTCCGGAAGTACCTACCCTTCGATGGATGGGTGTAATACATGCACCTGCACAGAATCCGGTCTAACAGCGTGTACAGAGAGGGCTTGTCTCAGAGGTTCGTATATTTGTATATAATGAATTTTAAAGAAATAAGAAAGAGTAAATCTTTAGTAGATGTACCTATGATTTGATTTGAACACATTTCATTATCTAGCAATAACATAAATGGATTGGGCAGCAGGCATAGCCTAATATAAGCCCTCTCCATAATAGATGTACCTATAAATAAAGTAAGAAAATATATTGTTATAAATGATTAAACTTGGATTAATATGAATAAGATTGTCTCAGTCTGTACAATGAAAGTAAACCAGTCTCTTAAAATTCTGTTCAAAATTTTATTCTTTTGGTTTCAGAAGAAAATTTTTATAAAATAGATTTTTTACTCATTTCAGTTTAATAGTTTTTTCAACGGACAGTCAGATGCTTTTCTGGCTTATACATTCGAATTTTGTTCTCAAGCCCTTTCTTTTGTCGCTGTTTGGATTGAATCTTTGCAATGATCTGACGAAATCACATTTATATTCTTTTTTTATTTTTAAATATGAATTTCCTAGGTTGCACCTACAATGGACGCCAATACGAGCAGGGGGTTACTTTTAACAGTGTGGATGGATGTAATATTTGCAAATGTTCAGATGATGGGAGCTATTCCTGCACAACAAAATTGTGCATATCAAGTAATAACAAACTACCTCCAATTACAGCAATCTTAATGACTTTGTATGATGAATAAGTAGCAGTTTTATTCTTCATTTTTGAATTCATACATGTTCGATCTACTTATCATATTTGCTAAGACTATCAATTAATTCAGAGTTTTTTTCTTATCTTCTTGAAAAGGAGATACAGAGAATAAAGTATCTCGCTTGCATGATTAAGTTGTCTTTATGTGCGTAACAGAAGTGGTTTTATTGTCATCGTGATCGATGTCAAATTCTGTCTTGATTAATATATATACTAGTACTTCTGTACATAAAAAATACAAGAATTCAAAAATATCAATAAAACATCTTTTACATGTAGTGTGAGAAAATATTATCATATCCTATTCAAAGACGTAATGATAAAAATAATTTCAGTTACTTGAGTAATTGACAAACTTAATAAAACATAAATCAAAATACTCTCATAAGCAGTCTGTATTTGTACGCATACTTCAAGTACAAAAGAGGGATCCAGCCATTCTAAAAAAACAGGATGCATTTAAGATCGAAGCGGCTACATGTAGCTGCAAAGTGTTAGATATCTATTCCCTATTTTTCATTGCATCAAATATTTATGCTACCTCTCCTCAGTAGGCTACATAGCTGTTGAGTTAACTTTTCGTTAAATAGCGTAGCTTTCCGTATTATCTACGCTGTTAATCTCATCCCTGCTAGAAGAGTTATCTGAATTCTTCCCTAGCTCGTCATCAAACATAACGTTAAACGTCACCAACACGAATCATGCCATTCTTTGACGTTCTTTGCTTTGTTTCAGAGGTCTGTGATTATAACGGGAAGACGTACAATGTCGGAGAAGGCTTCCCTGCTGACGACGGGTGTAACCGGTGCTTCTGCGCAGCAGGGGGCGTGGTCGCCTGTACTAAAATGTACTGCCCACCCTCAACACCAGCACCTAGTCAATAAATAAAATGTAGAAAAACTGGGTTGTGATAGTTGTCTTTTGAGTGGATTTTGTTCTTTTCTTTTCTTTCTGCATGGAAATATATCATTAATTAAACAACTACTCGTTTCGAATGATAAGATTCCAATAATAAAACGTCCATGGATCTCGTGGATAAGCAGAGCGGGGAAGGAGGCATTCTCCTTTGAATCTACTGTTACTGAGGATGCTTTCATTTATTTCTCCGAAACTGAAGAAGATGCTTCTGAATATATAGGTGTGTCAGCAGTTATTGTTGCTCTTCTTGTTTTTGATATAGATTCAGAGGTATCGACATTTTTTAAACGTTTAAACTTTGTGAATGGAATTTAACACAAACAAACGAATCAAGTTTTTAGAGAGTCGGGCTCGTTATTCACGTAGTTTCTGCAACTTGCGAAAAAAAAAAATTACATTTGCATGGTAACAAAGACTTAAAAGGTGTGTATAACAAGAATGATAATCGTCAATTTAAACAGCTGAAACTGGTGAGTAAAGTACTCCGAGTCGTCTCTGATACAAGCTAAAGGTTCTAAATAAACGCCAGGCATTAATACAAAACGTATTTAAAAATGCATCTGATTATTTTCAATTAAACCTTAACCTGGTTTCGCCGATCTATTTATAGATTTTTTATAGTGTATGTTTGTTTACATTAAAAAACCGTACTAGATGTACTTCGTTTTATGATAACTTTTCAGCTATGTGGCTGGACATTCAAACTGCTCTTGTCGGATTCTTTGTGGCTCTGTTCGTGTATTATATTCTGAAGAAAAATAGATACCGATTACCACCGGGACCTTTTGCTTTTCCGATCGTCGGCAACTACTCAGGTAGGGCATTATGGAACGCCGTACGTGCACTTATCTTTCTATTCAAAATAATTGCTTTGATTCTTTTGTCGATCTGTGTAACACTTAAATATTCAAATTTTTAAAATGATTTAGAGTTTGAGAATGTTAACATTGACGTTCAGATTTATAAATTTCAAAAGCTCGAAATGATATTGAAACTTAAATATTTTAGTTCAAAAATCTAAATTTTCAAATTTCCACACAGGTTTTCAATTTTTTTAATTTTATTTTTTGAATTTTACCTTAAATATTTAAAATTTAAATTTCTTTAAGAATTTTTGTATTTTAAACTTTTGAGTTTTTAATCTACCGTTTGTTCAGAATGTTTATGCTGTATAGTACAATAAAGTCAAGTACAATTTTTTGTCTTTTAATTTTTTTAACTGCTTCAAACTTCTAAATTTCAACTTTCAAAACCTTTTGAGTTTTTTGAAATTTGGTATTTTGATTCAAACATTCAAATTTCAAATAACCACGATTCTACTTTGAATTATTCAAAATAGCAAATTATCAAACCCGATTTGAAGGAATATCAGTTCAATATTCAAACTATCTAAAATCTCTTTTGTATGACCAAAAAAGTTTTTGAAATAGTTTCAAAAATCAAACCAGGTATGCAATTTGATATTTAAGATATTTGAATTAGAAGACTAAAAATCAAAAATATAAAAAGTCTTTTAGAATATATAAAATTTGAGTGTTTGAATCAAAGTACCGAATTTGTAAAAACATTAAAACGTTTGAGAGTTGAAATTTAGAAGTTTGAGGTTAATTTTAAGTAAACATAAGACAACATATTTTACTGAATGTGGATAGTTAAGCGTTAACTTTCTGAACGAACAGTATATTAAAATCTCAGAAGTTTAAAATACAAAAATCGTTTTTGAAAATTTGAATTTTAAACGTTTAAGGTAAAAATATGAAAAACAAAAATGTTAAAACCACTATGGATATTTGAAAAATTAGATGTTTGAACTAAAATGTTAAATTTCAATATACCAAAATGAGCATGAGTTTTTGAAATTTAGAAATTTATACTAATATATTAACATTGTATAACTCAAAATCATTTTAGAAATTTAAATTGTTAAATGTTAAACGGCCTCTTGTGGTACATATTTGGTATTTCATAACCCCGACTGATATTCTTTTTAAATAAAAATAGAGGCTCACATATTTTTAAATCAAATTAGTATAATATAGAACTATGGGGATTGAGGTGGGAGAATTTATTCAGAATTAACGGTTTACTAAACATTAAAAATATTCTACATCAGGATATATTCCCTCCCTTTATAAAATATGAATTAAGAGATACACAATATATTTTACTTCCATACAGTGAATCTTTAAAAACTATATTTGTTTTTAATATTTTATTTATTGAGTTATTTATCATTTACTATCGAATAAAGCACAAGTCCCTTTTTTATAACATTTAATTTTACTTATCGCATAAAAAACGTACTTTAACAGTTCGTGTATTATATCCTTAAACAGCATGTCTCAGAGAAAATCATCCAAAATAGTCCGGAAGAAAGTTTTTCCGATTTTTTTTTTTAGCCAAATCAAGTATTTGCATAAAATGAAATCAGACAAATGTTTATTGAGCTAATCAAATTTTTAAAGTTTTTCAAAGTTTTATGGCCTGTAACTAAAACTAGGATGGAATATTCTGTTCGTTATCCCCATATATTTCACTGAAAATTTCAACATGTAAAAATGAAATGTTAACAAAATTTCATATCCGATTTTTGTTATTTTAAAGCAGTTATCAACTTCTGATTAATTGATTGAAAGCATGTTTTTTTTTAATATTCCAATAATGATTTGTCAATTTTTGATCTACTTACACATCAAAAATTCATTTTATTTGGAAAACAAGTAAAAACTGAAGTTTTAAGTTTAAGGGCAAAATCATTCACATTTACATTTAGATGTGATCTGCTGATTAATGAGAACAAGAGAATAGCAAAAATCACCTCTTTATGTACAAAACAAAGTACGAAATCACTGGCTTTATGACAAAACTGTGTCACTGAATAAATGTAGCTCTTAGGAGCTTTTAATTATTGTTTTTTTTTCATATCAGACTTTTAAAATAATTTTTTTCTTCAGATAACAATACTTACCATTTAAATCTGGATCAGGACACTTGTCTTTTTATGTACAGGGCCAAAAAAATCTTCTGCTTGTTGACAAATGTTGCTACAAGAAGTGAAAGTTAATCAATTGTAAATTATTTATAATTTACCCAGGTTAGTTATACATTTTGCATTAGCAGTTGAAACCTCTCCAACATATAGTATACTAATTAATTAAGTATCACATTGTGCATGATAAAATGTTCCGTATAAACTGTCTCTTATGAGTTCATATTATCATGACCCATTACCTTTTTAAAATATCATTTTGCAAAAATTTGTATTCATTTTGAATTTCAATTAGAAAAAAAATGTGTGATAATATTTGGATTAAAAAAATACCTTTTCGTTCTTTGAATACCTGGCACTTTTATATACTCTTTAGTTCAGACTTATTTTGAGAAGCACCCTATTTCACTACTTGCACAATCCTGTAATTCAAAAAAGTATAAATCACATATATGCAAATCAATGCATATGTGCAGTTGAATGTTGATTATTTTTAATTAGAAAAAGTATTATTTTACGCCAACTCTCAACAACACATCAAACAATAAATATTACTGTTCCTAGTTATAAAATTTTCATGCATTATTTAAATTTCCATTACAAATTCTATATACATTGTACGTACATTTGTAGGTCACTTCAGATATTGAAAGTAATATGAATTGCAACTTTGATGTCCCATTTTTTTTATTATTGCAGAATTGTAATAAACTATTTCAAGAACAGAGAAAAAGAATATTTATACTCTTCTGTTGTTCATATTTGCGATGAAAGGACTTTTTTATAACCTATGATTGAAGCAATATAGCATTATCATTGTCCTAAACAATGTTGATTTCTTAAATAATACTAATTTGCTTGTACGGAAACACTTCTTTTCTTCTGAAACATTTTAATACTTCATTTTAGTTTTATTGAGCATGAAGGTTTAAATTAAATATAATCTATCATTATAACACATTATATATATATTTAAATGGCAAAATAAATTCTTAAAAATGCAACTCAGTAGTCATCAGAGATTGGCCTACTGTCAGATGCCTCTGTTTCTCGTTAACCTCGGGGTAGCAGAAGCTTCTTCTTCGCCAGTTTAACCCCCGAAGTTAACTGTATGGCTTTGATAGATTCTACTTTTAACTAGAGGTACTGTGAGCAATGAGCTCTCTAAATGATACCCCTCGCCTCCCATATGGTTATAACTGATGACGAAGTCCTTGTTTTGCCGCGGCCGCGAAACCCAAAATATGTGTCGGATCAAAAAGTAAATAGGAGGTGCACAATGGCAATATGTAATAAAGATTCTTTGAAAGTTCCATTAAATTTCACTCAGTGGTATAAGAGAAGTTGTGGATAAGAGATGGGTACCCTAGAGCGTAACAGACGGACGGACATACCGATTACAGTATACCCCCCTCCCCACTTTTCAAGCAGGGGGTATAAATATACATGTACCACGTCAACATGGTCATGAGAAAAAAATGAGGAAAAAAAATCCACATTTCACAACAAAACCTCCCGTCGGTCCATAACTTTTTTCATACAGTCTGATACCATAGGGGCTCGGTCGGAGCTTTAAAGAAGCGCAGATAGTATGATGGATCCTAGATACAGTCATGATGGACCCTAGATACAGTCATGCAAATAAAATACTTGACATACACGAAACGAAATGTTTAACTGTTTAAAACATCTCCGAAATCGCATTGTTCTTGGCGACCGTGACACATTAGAATTATGTCATTTCCCCCTTTTTTATATGCAGACTTCCACTACTGGAGATAACTCTTATATACCCTTACTCATTCTCATTATCTTATCATCTTTTATCATTTTCGGAGTAATTTTGAGTTTAATCTACTTTTAAAATTTTATAGACTTTCAAAATATAACTTTAGACTAAACTATGTTTATTGGTCATGAAATAAACCCAAATTATTATCATTATACCCCCCGCTTGAAAAGTGGGAGGGTATATAGTAATCGGTATTTCCGTCCGTCTGTCCGTCCGTCTGTACGTCCGTCCGTCCGTCTGTTACGCTTTGGGGTACCCATCTCTTATCCGCAACTCCTCTCAAACTACTGAAGGAAATATGATGAAACTTTCACAGAATCTTTATTACATATTGCCATTGTGCACCTCCTATTTTACTTTTTGATCTGACATATATTTTGGATTTTCCAGAGGAAAACATGGATACTGCCATTATATTCACATGGGAGGCGTGGGGTATTATTTAGTGAGCTCATTGCTCACAGTACCTCTAGGTTGATCAATGTTGTGGTACAAATTGAGAGCTATGCTAACATGCTTCGGTCATTACTACAACAATGCATAAAATATACGAGTATGTGCACTAAATTGCCAAGGATGATTTTTTTTCATACATTTGGTAGAACATAAATCAATTATTATAAAAACATTATTTATCGGTAATCAAATTATTTTATCCCCAACGCTGTGCCACTGAGCTAAATATCTATATTAATTCTGAAGTTCACAATTTCGCCAAACATGTGGCTTCAGTATAGATTGCAGATAGTTGTAATCATTATGGAAATTAGGTATTTGTAATTTTTGACATATATGTATTTATGAAATAATAAAATACCGTTTTGAAAATAAATTTTTCAATGACTTTATCAGGCCCCAAACTTTCCTTTTTTTACCTACTATACAATGCCAATTATTGCTTAATATAGAAACTGGGTTGTTACGAAAAATAGAAGCAGCTGACAAACTTTTGAGATTTCATTTTATTATCCTGACACAACCCAGATCTTAAAAAAATATATGACAAAATGAAAAGCTCTATACACCCTCTTGGACGATTTTTCAGATTTTGCATGCTTTTCTCGGAGACAGACTGTTAAAGTGAAATACATTTTTGAAAATAGGTGATTCATGTGTCTGATTTTAATTCATATTTTATGCAGCCAACGTCTTCTTGAGGAATTGATAAAGTTTATAAGGGTATCGTTTTTGTTCGATTTTTATACAACTATAAGTTTACAAAATCTTCTCGACTATCGTCTCTAGGACGAATTTCTTTTTCACACAAATCGAAGCGTATCATGTCTACTATAAACTGCCATCAAGTTTAAAAAAGAAATAAAATACAATAATTATAAATATACTGGGTATTCAATTGTGTTCAAATAATGTATGTTTTCTTATAACAAATATATAATAAATAACAATATATTCATATAATAATCGATATTTTCATTTTAGTGTATACAAATCCACTCTATCACAGAGAAGTTGTTAAGTTATCCAAACAGTACGGACCAGTGCTACGTTTGAAGTTTGGTGAGAAGTATTTTAGCAATCAATACTTGGTCTTTTATTTCATTTAATTATTTATTTTTTAAATCAGAAAACCTTTGCAATTCAGACACTATTCCGAAATTAGAAATTATTTCAAGTAATCAAATCAAGTTAAGCACTTTCGGTTTAGATAATATTAGGGAAGATAATGGATTACAAAAGAATCATGTAGACATATATCTTTTTGATTAAATTTTAAAATAAAGTATGTCAAATGTTGTTTACGAAACGCAGTAGTTTAAACTTAACTTGTTCAATTTTTGTCAATTTAACTTAAAGTTTTAATGGATTCAAAATAATTTCAGCTTCAAGCCCAACTTAAAAATATATGTTTGCTTGCAATCTCTCGACTCAGATTGAAAAAAAGTCCGTTTGTGAGCTAGGTGGAAAAAAAAAATTTCCCGATATTTTAAAAACGTTATGTAATTTTTGTTTCTGTTTTTGAAATGCATAAGAATATTTGTTTCCAGGTTGTTGAGAAAAGTTTTGGATATTTTTAGGCAATCGGCCGGGAGAAGGCTTTGTCTCTTTTGAAATATGGCCTAGTAGAGCAATATAAGTAGAGCAATATAAGTGTAATTATTAAAATTCTTGAATGATGGAAATACATTGCTTTTTTTTTTAAATCCACAGGTCCGAAGACGTTTGTATTCATCAATGACTATGAGGCAGCTATGGAGGCGCTTGTTAAAAGAAAGACAGATTTCGCGGGAAGACCATCCTTGCGATCACGTAAAATATTTAATTTTGATATTTTTTTCAAAAATGTGCTACATTTGCTTAGTATCAGGTTTATACAACATCAACCTTTCAACTTTAAGCAAACTCCCCTATCAAAAAAAAAAAAAAATGTTCAACAGCAATTATTAATCAATTACATACTCGAATATTTTAACATTGCCGATTAAATATGTCGATTTTTTTTCAAAATGCACGTAGTTTGAACAGACTTTCTGAAATGGCGCAATCAAAAATAGAAAATGTATTCTATTGAAAACAACTTTTTATGCTTACAAAAGATTTCATTGTAAAAAATATAAAAGCAATAGAGATCAAGTAGGAAAAAATCTTTTGGTATTGCAACTTGTTATAATTTTCTCCCTTAGAAATCACTCAATGTTTTGCCTGATCCCTAATCCTTGTAGCTAACCTTTAATGCTTTAGAGGTTCTTGTTTGCTCTGCTGCAATATAAGCATTGTATAATGGACTATTTCTATATCTCCATATATGTCATTTTTTGTTCAGTTGAGGTCTTCTCAGAGGGCAGTGGAATCTCATTTTCTCCATACTCTGAACCCTTGAAGATAAACCGTAAAGTGGCCAGTGTCGTATTAAGGCATCCTTCTTCATATTCAAACTAGTTATATGTGTACTTTTCCATAGAATGCAAAAACGAAAATTTTTCTGAAAACTTTTTTCATATTGTATATCTAAAAATATTTTTACGATATTTTAACGAAGTATTCATTTCCAGGAACTTTTTGAAGAGCAAAGTTATGGATGAAATAATTAAAAGAAAATGATTCAGTTTATTGAAAGAATGTCCGCCGAAAATAAACCCATAACAGCGAAAGAATACTTAAACAAGATTCAATTCCATATTCTTTTTACTCTATGCTTTGGACAAAGGTAGGTTTCGAGCCTTCTTTAGCTCTTTAAAAGCAATTTATTTATTAAGCTTGGGGTAGAAAAACATATCATTTTAAATTTGATTATCTACTATACGGTTTGAGCGTGTCAGATGTATGAATAATTTGTTAATATGTGCTATTTTACACCCATTGTAATATCAAAGAAATGCAGCATACACTTTATTCAGTCCGTAAAGTGAAAAAATATTAAGACAAAAATATTTGAACTGCTGATTTTCTACTCTGAAAAGTTGTACAATTATATTTTTTCTAATATGCTATGTCCAAAATGAATTAACCTTATTTAATTTAAGTTATCCGTTTTCAAAGAAGTAAATCGTTTCTTATAAAATTTCAGAATTAATAATGTAATTATTGTATACCTTTACTGTAAATGACATGCTTCCATATATAGTCAAAACTGACGATGTTATAGATTTAATATATATATTTTGTTTCCTCTTTTCTAGATCAATTGATACTTAAACGTTACATTTTCAATTTCTATCATAACTAACATTCTTCCATAACTTAGAAGTACACTTGTTGTGAATTACTGAGTATTGTTTTCCCTATCGATAAAGTCAAGGTTTTATGAAATAAAACGTGTTATTGTAGAACAGACGAAGAAATAGAAAGTTTTATTCGGAGAGTAGAAGAGATTAATAAAACCTTTGGAGGAGGATTTTTGGAAGATATCTATCCTATTTTTGAGAAACTGTGGCCATCTAAAAATTATTGCCTCTATCTAAAATTGGTGAACAATTTATTACACATCTTTTACGGATATTTAGAGGAACACAAAAGTTCATTTGATAAAAGTGAGTACATATCTGATTACTTTATTGAAACTATATTAAATATATGTTCTGGCTTATATATAATAATTGTACTGAATGTGCGGATGGTGAATGTTTAACATTTCAAGTCCGTTTTCGGGAATATTTTTCAGACTTCTGACCGAAAAATTGGTCTAAAGATTTTGTCGCACATTTCTTTACGACTTAAATGCTCTTTTCATAATGCACTGGTACTCAAAATTAACTATACATGTGTATATTTCTGTGATTAAAAACATTTTAATATTTTTTTTCAATAACAAAATTCATGTAAAGTCAACTCTTTAAATCTGAGACAGTTTCAAGCTTTTGCAGCATTTGAATGGATTTATTTCAGATAACATCCGGGATATAACAGACCAACTGCTTTTGTCTCGAAACGAGGCTGATGATTCCCGCGATGAAGTGGTTGTGAAAGTTATGAACGACACTCGTATTCTACAAACCGTTTTAGCTATCTTCTACGGTAAGTCAGTGAGTCGACCTCTAATTACTAGTCGGAAATGGAAATATTTGTTTTATTGATTCACTATAAGATATTCATTTGAAAAAAAAAAAATTACAGCTGGGGTCGATACAACAAGAATGACAATGGACTGGTTTATCTGTTTTATGTCAGGACACCCGGAAGTACAGGAAAAATGTAGACAAGAAATCGATGCTGTCATAGGTTTGTGTTTTAAGTGAAGGTTTTCGTTTATCATGATTATAATTTTGTCCGTTATTTTTATGTAAACAAGATATATTTTGAATAGGTAATTTTTTTCAAATAATTAACAATTATCTGATTACAACAGCCTTTCTCCATTTTTACTTAATCTCATTATAATCAGGATCTAGACGCCCGTCAATCTATGATCGACCAAACTTACCATTCACGGAAGCCTGCGTGTACGAAACTCTGAGGCTTGGAAATGTAGCAGCCGTTGGCTTACCACACTCCACTCTGTGTGACACCCAGGCTGGTGGATACGACATTCCAAAAGACACCACGGTCATGATTAATATATATGCTATCCACTTGAGCCCAAAGTATTGGAAAAACCCCGAGAAGTTTGATCCACAGCGCTTCCTGACAGCAGATGGGAAACTGGAGGGAAAACAAGAGGGTTGGTTGCCGTTTGCAGCAGGGGTGAGGTCATGTCTAGGGGAAGCTATGGCAAAAACGGAGATTGTCACGATGTGCGCGTATCTTCTGCAAAGATTTGAGTTTAGATTACCTAATGGGGTGGATCCAGATTTTACAGGGGTGTGTAGCGGAATTAGTGGAACTGAAGTTCCCACGTCGTATAAAGTTGTTCTGAAAGATCGCTTTGTATAAAGAAAAGTATTTATCTGTTCGATTTTTGCTTTACCTTTATAATCACATATGTATGTGTTTACTTCCGTTAGTGACATAGGCTCATGTTAGATGAACAGTATATTTTCAATTTTATTAAAGAAGCTATCTTTAGTAAGTGTAAGTCCTTTTTTGTATTTGAGACCATATGCATCGTGTACAATTAAATACATGTATATGAAAGCCCTATCCTTTCTTTCTTTTGCAGAGTTTATGATAGAGGTAAGCTATTTGAATGCATAAGTAAGGGACAACAAGTGCCCCCCCCCACTATGTCTTGTATTTTAAAGTTTATAATTATTGCAACAGAGTGATAGTTTTAGGCTTTAATTTAGTCCCTTACTATGCAATGTAGTATCTTAATCCATTAGTTTCTCTCTGGAGAAGTCATTTGGTATTGAAATTATTTGACATCTTCATGAATACAAGTATTATGGCTTTTTACTTGCTACTGATTTGGAAAGGGGTTTTTAAAATGCTTGAAAATTTAAAAAAAATTACTCTAAGCAACTCTTCCAATTAAACGGAATCATATTCTTTTTAAATAATGGCATGAAAGATTAATACAGAAATATAAAACGTCACAAAACAAAAAATGTCTGTATGCAAATCTGTAACGGAATGATTTGATAAAATTATGACAAGAAAAATGAAGTCGGATAGAAGGTCACGTTTTGAGGATCAGTTAATGCATTTTAAATTTCAAGAAGTTGGTTAGAAAAGAGGTACATGTATTGAATTCTTAGTACCAAACAGGGGGAAGAGCTGACAAATACACTACTGATGACGCCCTAATTATCATTTAATCATTATTAATCTCTTTTTAGCAGTATTGTTCTTATATTTCTGTGAAGCAGAAATTATTCAAAACCTCATACATAAGAGAAATGAACACTTACTGAAGCTTTCAACTTGATGTGTATATGGACGACGTATTTTAAATTTACTGTGGTTTCTTCCAAGATATATCCAAGTGAAGTTTAAGAAAAAGCCGACACAGTCTATCACATGTTTCATATCTGGATGTTTTACTGACTATGTGGTGTTGGTGTTTAATACTCAACATATTTGAAAAAAATCCCATTTTTTACATGTCTTATAAGCATTCCAGAATAGAATGTGTCATAGATTATGACCCGGAATTTTATATGTATTATATACATTACATTTCTAATGTTTCAATGCATCTATCCAAAAGTATTTGATGGTATTCTTATTCTTAATTTAATTTAATCTTATTTTTATTCCGAACAAAATCGCTTTTTTTTTTACAGCATAGACTTCAATGCAATGTTTTTGTTTTTTAATTTAACGACTACTTAATTAATATAATTGTTAAAATTGTATTTGAATCATATGCTTTACATATGAGGTCATTTTTATGATTCTCATATTAAACCAATATAATGCAAGTACGCGTATGTAGATATGTATCCAAAATTTTTTATACAAAAATAAAATATATTTCCGATGTTTCCCTTTTCAATGACGATCGTTCCAAAAAATATATTTTTTTCCAAGATTTTGTCATTGAAGAATCATTACTTTTTTAACATGTTTTTCTCACAAAAAATCAATGTACAATGTTTTTTTTGTTCAATTTCACATTTCTTTGTATATTTTTGTATATTTTTCATAAATTATGAAGATATGCAAAACAGAGATTTGGGGAACGTATCGTCTGACCTTGATGATTTATTTTTTTTAACATGACTCATACGGTGTTGAGATTCAATCAAATTATATAACTGCAAAGTTTGTACAATTTTTTATGTCAAGAAAACTACGAAGCGTGCTATAATTATGGACATTTATCATTCATTTTCAGCACTCCAAATCTCATCTTCTCAGACAATCGAAAGATTAAAATATATTGTCAAAAAGCTGGCGATTTAGGGGAAAAGATCACAACAGGATTTTATGATTCCGTCTTGTATTCACGATAGTGTTTTCCACTTTTTCTAATAGGCATGCAAAAAGTTCGCCATTCCAATTTGTCACATAGGATCTCGCAGCATGCTTCTTCTACAAAGAAAACATAGATTTTAATAAAATGAACAGATAACATATATATTTGCCTATAAGTCGATTTTTGGGAGTTGAAACTGGCTCCAACTTCTGTGTCCGACTTATAGGCGAGTCATAGAAACAGTAGTGTCTTTCTGGACCACAAAAGGTAGCATTTTAATAAGTTATCGTTGATGAAAGTCTTTTAATATTACATCATTTTTGTATTTTAAGATTATGCATTAAGCACAGTCAAGTATATAGAAATTTTTATCGGTTTTATTTTTATGTTAAGTGTGCGTTACTTACTTTTTTTTTAAAGGCATTAAGAATAAATATCGGCATCATTTTGAAAGAAACTAGCGATTGAAACCAGGTTGAAACATTGGATATTGTAAACTAATTCTAGCAAAAAGTTGTACCGACTTATAAGCGGGCCAATGACAAATTCCTCAAGAAACATGCCAAAAAAAAATGCAACCGACTTATAGGCGAGTATATACATGTACGGTAGGTTTGTTTATAAACTAGCAATAAAAAGATATTTTAAAATTTGATTAATTTTCACATTCGTAATTCCACTCTTTAACATATAAATAAAAAACCTTTTTTGAAATGAAATAATGTCTGTGATTTTATTGTTATAGAAAATATTCTATTACTTTTATTAAAATGTCAAATTATTTTTAATATTCAAACAATCCCTCTTTACACACCATAATGAATTCCCAAATTACTTGATATACAAATATTACGTCATCGGTCGGAGATTTTTATGCAAGTGACAGATACAACACATATTAACAAAGTAAAATTATTTGATCTCTGTTAACATTTACATGTATCTATTGATAATCTAGAATAACATATATCTCTATATACAAATTTAATCAAACCTTCAGTTTTAAAAAGACATCATCTTGCTTGCTATGACGTCAGAATGATTAACGAATTACATATTTCTTTTAGTTTTAACAATAAATTTGGATAATCTACAATGCTATTTGAACTACATGCATATTCAACGAAAACCCCATGAGTAAAATCCATATCGAAAGCATTAAGAGGGAAACTACATGTACCGATATTTTGTCAAAAGTTTTCTTTTCAGAAGAAAATGATCAATTCTTTTCTTTCGAAGTTTAAATGTAATTGTTAAATTTGGATTCCTTTTTTCGTACAGTTTGCACACATAGAGTTAATTTGTGCAGTGAAATATTATATGCTGGTTCTAAATCAAAATAGAATTAACTGTCATAAATTCTAACATGATATTTGATAACGCTTCACGGTTCATAAAGTGTAATCTGCACGTTTCATCCTTTGACAGGTTAAAATAAGCTTCACTGCATATATAATTTAAACATGAATTTATCGAGGTTGTATATCTATGTATCGCATTTCATTTATCTATTGAGTTTTGCTTTTATACATTTTTTTCTGTATATATTCATATTGGCACTAATGGGCTTCCTTACACTTAATGATACGTTAATTTTATTCTATGGATCCTTTATCCCATCAATTAAATTAAAGCAATATGAGCTGCATTTTTGAGAATTTTATTTTGCTGTTAAAATGAGCTTTTTGATAAATCTGAATATAATATAATTTCGTATAATCTTATATAATATGAATATAATATAATTTCTTATATTCAATAAGACTTCATTGAAGTACAATAAGACATAAATGATGTACATAGTGTACTCATTTTCTTACATGAACGTTTTCTGTACAATGGAATGTAAAGTATTACACGAGAAATTATTATTGTATGGGACGACATTAACGCACTTTTCCTTCATTTAATGGGGCCGACTATAGTTTTATTGTGTGAAAACTACAATAGCGAAACTTTTCATTTTTAGACCATATGTAACTTACATTAACTTCAGTGTACATGCAAAGTTTGGGGAAAATCTTAACCGTTCAGGTATTTTTGAGGGACCATCTTAAAATACAGGTAAATTTACTATAGGATTATATAGGAAAATGCCATTTTTTTGCACTTTAAAGCAAATTATACAAATACTACAACAGACATTTTGTTCAAACTATAATATTTGATGAGTAATCCTATATTATACAATATATGTAAGAAACACAAAATTCTACCGTCATGTTACCAGAGGGGCCATCTCAAAATGCAAAAAATTAGCAAATTTTACTATTTTTATAGAGTATTAGAACAGACTACCCCCAGAAAAGCGTGTTACTTTCGTGCGCTTTCCGTTTCGTGCAAACCGTGTAGCGTTTCGTGTATACCGTGCAGCGTTTCGTGCAAACCGTGTAGCGTTTCGTGTAAACCGTGCAGCTTTCGTGTAAGCTCCAAAGCGTTTCGTGCAAACCGTGTAGCGAGCGTGCGAGAAGCGTGTGAGAAACGTGCGACTTTCGTGTAAGAATCGTGTGAGAAACGTGTGACTTTCGTGCAAGAATCGTGTAAGATTCATTCGGAAGTCATTTCATTTTAAATATGTATATCAATAGGTCAGGATGTCAAATTGTATTAGTATTTTTTTATTATTGAATTAGTTATGCTTGTGATATTTTAGGAGTAAAAAAATGGAACAACAAAATGAAATTACACGGTAATGTTTAATATATTTGTTTTTTTTTCTTCTAAAGAAAATGTGTTCAAATTAATTAATTATGTACAACAATTTTAAGGACATTGAATTCAATATAAGATCGACGCGATTATGGCTTCTTAAATATTTTTTTCCAAAGAAAGAAAGAATTAATACCGGTATTTATTTTTTTTTTTACTTTAAAGCAAAAATATATCAAGACTCCGTTCTTGTCTTTACATTTAAATACGTAAAAGAAAGTTTTGAAACGATGTATCATTTAATACCTTTTAATGCATAAATTTGTTGCTCATTATCATGATTATTGTCAAATAAATGGACTATAATTTTAATTCTCGTGCACTGACGAGCACGTTCAGAAAAAAGGGAGGTGTTAAATTAAATTACTACATGTAGTACAGTCTTTCATTTTTTTTTTTGATGTAACTTTCACTGTAATGTTTGTTTAAAGAAATGCTAAATTTTCTATTATTCTTTTTAAAATCCTTTGTTAAATTTGTGCGCAGAATCACCCCTTAAAA